AATAATGAATTAAAAATCAATGAAGTAATTCCAATAAACAATACATTTTTCTTATAATTTAATTAAAAAATTAAATATAACAATAACATAACTTCTCAAACAATAGTCGAATATTCCACGCTTTCACTGGTAGGTGAATCTTATACATTTATGAGGTAGGTTACAGCAGAATCGAACGATGCAGTGAATTTTGAAGGGGTCACATGTAGTTCCCGTTCTAGTTTTAAAATCTCTAATGTTTTTAGATAACTTTCTTTTGCAAGGATTTTAATTTGGTGTTGTAATTTTTTCTTCTTTAAATCGACTAGTGCTTCGCCAAATTGGGTCATTTTCATTAGATATTTTCGACTTGTTCCTTTTTGCACAAGATCCAGTAGGTACACTGCTGCTCCCAGTAGAAATAAACTCATTAGTGTTTTTAATTTTGTTTGTTGCACCGTGATCTTGCAAATGGTTTGAATTTTCTATTTCTTGTTCAACTTTCTCAGGATCTTGCTCCTTCTCAGGATCTTGCTCCCAAGTTTCGGAAATTCCGAGACTACACAGAATTAGATTATCCGGCCCAAGAATATCGAGAACTACATTGTCGATTTCTGTAAATTTAGAATCTGTGCGTTCTACCTGAACCAGTTTTCCTCCTGTTATCAACTTTCTTCTGCAATACGAAAACAAGTGTCAGATACGCTTACATTTTGGCAAATTAAACGCTAACACTTAACATTGTTGTTTTTTTTTTAAATTTTGCCAAAATACATCACGGCTGTAAGTCCAATCCTTATTTGGAGGCACAAGCCCTAAAACTGGTGGATTTTTGGTGCACAGATTTCCAACATTCTAGTTTGTTTTTTTTTTGTTAATTTGTCGGAAAAGCTGCCAAAAAAGAATTGCTTTCTTATCTCTAATCTCTTTTAAAATGATAATTTTAGTACCATTTAAGACGCTTTTCGACATTGTCACAGAATTATAAATAAACCACTGACGTTTAAACTAGTAAATTGTCAACAAAACTATTTTAAGGTTATGTTTATTTACAAACTTGTAACTAACATGCTGAAGTACACTTGTTGCTGACAAATTTACACATGTAACGAACAAGTTTAAATATTTTTTTTGTGAAACGCTTGTTATTAACAACTTGTGATTACAAGTGCTGAATATTAACAATTTGTTACTAACAACACTTGTAGTTTTGTGAAATGGGCCCCTGGAATCCCAAATATTTAACTGTTTTAACCACGTCAATTTTTTTTAATATTATTCTTTAAATTTATGCTCTCAGTACAGTGAAAAACATTGCATTTGTTTTTTTTCACATCCAACTTCAGTTTGTTTAGTTTTAAATATTTATTAACCATATCTAAAATAGTATTTATTTTTTGCATAGCTACATCAAAATTTTCACCACTAAAACAAATTAAAGTAGCATTGGCAAAAAGATTAACAAATTCACACATTAAAAAAATATCTATATCTTTAATGTACAGCATAAATAAAAGGGGCCTAATACACTGCCTTGAGGAACCCCTGCATTACGATTATGTCAGATGACAATTATGGCTTAAAATACACTTTCTTTTTCGATTTTCTAATATTTCGACTCACGCAATTACAGTACCTCCCATATCATACTCTTTAGGTTTAGAAATCAAAATATTGTCCCGTCAGTGGTCTCAAAACTCTTTTTAAATCAATAAATACACCAACTACGTACTTATTTTTATTTAAGTTACTCTTTATGTGACATAATGTAAATTTTAACGCTGATTCACAGAAGAATAGTTTTCGAAAACATGATTAATTATTAACTAAAATTTTATTTTTTGTCGTATGTATTTTTTTAATTTTTTTTAGAACAACCACAGAAAAGCAAGAATGATTAACAAGACCGAGTTATAATGCCACAGGAGAAACAGAATGCATAGAACTAAAAGCAGGAATCCGCCAAGGAGACTCGCTCAACCCATTGTTATTCAATATGAGATAATCAATAATTCACGAAGTAAGAAGATTACATGACGCAAAGTAAGCAAGATGACCTTTAAAGGCCCAAGCTCCACACCTTCAATATCACAGCAAACAAACTTAATATGAGAATATCAGTAGAAAAAACTAAATATAGTGATCAGTAAAGAGCCGCGTAGATGCAAACTAGAAATAGACGGCAAAATTGTAGAACAAATAATGAAATTCAATTACCTAGCAGTAGAGATCACTAGTGACAGAGACCACAAGGCAAGCATCAAAAGGAGCAAGAGTAAGTGGTTGTCTCCGAGAAACCATATGGAGAAACAAATATTTGACCACGGAAAGAAAAATGGTATACAAGACAACAGTAAGACCAATTCGAACATATGCAGCGGGGACAAGGACCGATACAAGAAAGACGAAACAACAAATCAACAATATCGAAATGAAAGTATTAAGATCAATAGCGGGAACGAACATGTAATAGGGACCAGATAGATTCGCGAACTCTGTAAAAACAACAAACCGTATAGCAGAAGACCTTTGGAAGCTGCGAAACAGTGAAAAGATAATATACAGTTAACGACGACTGAAACAGAATAAGAGGCAGACAAATAGGAGTAATCCTAGTCGCACGAAGAAGAAGAAGTTGTATGTTCCATAATTGTTCATAAGGCAGCAATTAATTATAGTTTTTCTATAGGAAGTAAAGTATTGATTGGTCGGAATTCTTTAGCTTTGATAGTACCTATTAGATATTTTTGTTGATATGAGCAGATATAACTAATATCCAAGAACTGGTTACAACAACAAGCATCAATGGAAAGTGGGGTTTAAAGTCAGACATGGTATTTTTCAACATGGATTTTCAGCATGGTGGTAACACCAATAATAATATATAAATCAGTGATATGCTGGCCAACGGTGCAATAAAAAAAATATCATCCTCATATTTTGCTAGGTGCAAAAAGACTCGCTTGACTTGGAATTAGAAGGACTCTGAAAGGCATACCGACAGCAGATTTGGAGGTGCTTATTATTATAAAGGAGGATATTATCTAGAGGGTATTATAAATTTAAAGAAACATAATAAGCGTAATAGTTAGAGAAAGGTACAGTTACATCATAAATAACTTTAGGAATAGATGAGGAGAGAAAAAATAAATGAGGACTTCTGACCAACTATCACTTGTAAAAGAGAAATTGACATAAGGGCTTTCGAACTTAAGATAATAAAGATATACATAGATAGCCAAGCGGTATACTAAAGGTAGACCCTATGTTAGTATGGGAATAGCAAGAAGAACTTTTACTAAGGCTCTTACTAATGAAATGTAAGAGTTAAGAACTTGCCAGAAGAGGATAGCTATAAAATACTTCGTTTCTAAAGCGGGCCAGAAAAAGAACTATACCTAAAAGAAATGTACTTTGAGAAAACATATTTATTTGTAAGCATTTAATGAAATCCAAAATAGAAGACTAAAAACATGGACGAAAAGATGAGATAAAAGAATATACTGCCAATATTCGACAACATCAAAATTGAATAATAAACTTCCAGTTCCAAATAATCCAAAGCATAATGCATAAAACAAAGGAACATACAGATATAAGTTGTGAAATAGGGTTAAAATGCTCATGAAAACAATGATATCATGATACTGATTGTCAAGTATTGATATTTATATCAAGGAAACAAACAATAATTGGTAGAATATTTAATATGAAAGTTTTTTAAAGCACCTAACTTAGAAAAGTTTGTTAATGTGTTTGTAGACTCCGACTATAGTTATATTACCGATTTCATTTTAATTGAATAACCTAATAAATAAATATTAGGCATTAATGTTTGAGCAATAATGGTTACTTTTGAAAATAAAATATTAGTGAACTACATTTCTTAAACTTTTTATACATAATGTATTAATAAAATTTAAAATTTTCTACCAAACAAAGAAGCTTAGCATCGGAATAAAATCAGCTGGGACTATGCCGACAATACAGCGTTCAACTTTTGTTGACATCACGAAATATGTTTCTCGAAACACAAGGTTTTCTTATTGCCGTTCAAATTTGGATAATTTGGGCCAAAAATTACTCAAAATATATCATCCAAGATCCTTAGGTGGAAAAAGTAAAAGTGCCGATATAGATAACAAACCTTTGAGATTCAAAACTGAATATAAGATGCGGAATGACTCAGTAGGACAGACAGCTGAAAACCTGGAACTCCTCAAAACCAACAGTCTCCCTTATTATGAATGTGTCCCTCACAGTATGCTAGAAAATCCAAACTACGAGCTATACTGGTACCGCATTGTGTATGCTGACCAACAGGTGACACAAAATAGACCAGATTTCATACTACTTATAGTTATTATACTAAATACATAACGCTTATTTTTTTTTATAACACAGCGGTATGAAACAACACAATGAGTGTTAAATTGATCGATAAAATCGCCAGTATGTAGATCCTAAAGTACAAATAAGAAGACAATCAGAATGAAAAGTTTCAGAAAACTTTCTAAAGAACACCAAAAATTTTGCTGCTGATCAATTGCTTTATATCACAATGCGTGGAATAAATCTGGATAAGATTTGAATAAATTAAGATAATGACAATTAAATGGTTAAAAAATAACTCATGCGGTAGTTAAGCAGAACATCTAATTAAATAAATTAGACCACATATAGATACAGGAAACATACAAATAGATATAAAGGAAATAAAACAACGATGAAAATAGAAGGAGAAAAAAAATCTGGCTAAATATTAAAACAAATAAAATAAGTTACAACAATTGATGAAAATAAGAGAAAAAAGAAATATCAATTCAACGAATGAAAGATTTGTTTAGAAATTAACTGAAATTCCATGGAAATAAGGAAACAATTTAAATTCTAGAAACATGCAAGGCTGAAACACAACCTATTTTAAGTACTAAATATGAACATACTATTTACTTGTTTTATTTATCAATCGACTATTATTTTTATAATTATGTCTATAAAAGTTTAAAATAAAGACTTACCAATGCATTGCTGTCACTTGGGGCAGTGTAGCTATATTTTAACGAACACAAAATTACAGAAAAAATCACAAAAATCTGCATCTTGACTTCTCGAATCGAACGACTATACTAAAAATTATTAATTGAACCAAAAGTGTTATCAGTCGTTACAAAGATAAAATTAAGATAAGAGGTAGCATCAACTATGTGCGCTAATTCAACTTAAAAAAAAAATAGGGACCAAAAATCATCAATCGCGTATTTGGAAACGATGGTTTTGGACCCGCGGTTTGTGCGATGGGCTGACCGGACAGTCACTCCTTCGGCGGATTGGAGATCACTGAAGTTTTCGCGGTTACACCGCGTGTTTATATTAGTAAGCTCGAAGCACAACCTACCGCAAGGATTCTTACGCGAAAGACAACTTGAGTTTTTGTTTTTTTTTTAATTGCGGTTTGGAATAAAATTGTCTTCCTTTATGATTTTGTTTTCAGTATTTTTATTTTCTTGTTAATTGACCTCATAGTTTTTCCTTACAACAATAAGTCTGCCCTGCTAAAGATAATAGGTCCTAACTTCCAATTGTGCTATTTTGAGAAAACCCCAATTAACTTTAGTAATATTAATGATATCAAACTGTAATTTTGAATAAACTTGATTTGTGTATATATAATTTATGGGATAATCCGTGGAAGTAATTAGTTTAAAGCTTACATGAGTTTTGATAGATAGGACGGTTTAGCTTAGGATTTTATTAAAAATATTAGATAGGACAAGATATTTTACAACGAACTTTTATTGCACTTATAACGAGATATTCTTTTACATATAAAACTTAATATAGCCCTCTAATGATTGTAAAAAAACTTAACATTTTTCATTTTAGCGAAATATTATTAACATAGAAACGTGGTTGAAAGCAAAGTTGAAAAATAGAAAATCTCCTGGCGCAGACCACATCATCGCCGAAGTTTTAAAAGAGACTGGAGATGTTGGAGTAAATGTTATGCATATAATCTGGTGGAGGGTGTGACAAAGAGATACGTAGTAGGTTGACTATTGCTATAACAGCTATGATGAAACTGGTAGCAATTAGGAAAAAGTTCTAGCATAATAATACACACAAAACTAAGGCTGGTAAGGGCGCTCATTTTTCCCATAGCCACATATACATCCGAAACGTGGACCTTTTGAAATGTGGGTATACCGCCGCATGTTGAGAATATCCTGGATTGATCATCGCACTAATGTATCGATATTAGAACAACTTTTAGATAAAGCCGAATAACTAGCCCATGACAGAGAAGGATGGAGGGAAATCGTGAAAAACTGTAAAGACCTGATGGTGTTACCACATCCCAAAAGGGATTGGGACAGAGGAGAAGGAGCAGCGTGGTGTTAACTTCTTTAATTTATATGTAGAACTGAAATATGTCCACTCATATAAATGTCTCATCTCTAATGCTACAAAATCGGTCTGTTCTGTTAAATTTAGAACACATTGAACATAGTCATTAAAATTTCAAACAGTTTTGGCCCTCTTTAATGATTTTTTTTACCTGGTGGTGAAAATGGTCCGCATACATAAACGTGTGTCCGCGCTCAAAATATTTAATGGTTAATTGTTTTAAGTTAATTTCTGTAGCATTTATTGTATAGACAAAAAAGCTGAACAAACACCAATTCTTGTTTTGCCCCGAGTAATTATCCTGCTAAATTGATATTCATTTTTTATCTCGGTTTTTTAGGAAGAATGCTTAGAAAGTAGACACTATATCTTCTTTTTTTCTTCCTGATATTCCTTCGTGCCACAGAATTCCTAAAGGACTGACGTCCCTACCTTTCCCGACAGTAACAAAATTTTGTTAAAAGCAATTATGCGCCTAGTAAAATGATTTCTTTAAACATATCTGCTCTTGGAAGCATTATCACTTTTTTGAAGATCTACTGAAACTATAAAATTTGATGATTTTTTAAATAGGTAAAGAAATAATAAGTAAGACTTACTCACAATCAATTTAATTTAACTATCAGACGACCGGTTTCGCTTTCTACAATATACAAAGCATCTTCAGGTCTCGATACAAAGTTATATAAATGCTGAAAATTAAATATCGATAGCAATTAAAGTAAACTGTATAACCCAAGCTTGATCAAGCCATTCAGAGCGATGCTGAGAATATTAAAATTCCACTATGCATCAACAATTTACCATATAAACTACTATCATTTTTGTACTCATTGCGTCGAGTAAGGACAAGAACAAAATAAATGACGGTTGCGTTTTACTTTAATTGCTATCGATATTTAACTTCATGTTTCCTCACTAGAGGCCTCTAGTAGCATACTCTGGCAATTATGTTTACTATAATTGCCTTAGTAGTCGGTGCGTTTTGATTTGGTTTGAGTCTTCTTACAAACTCCTTCTGATGACGGGTAGACCCAGAAACACGTGTCAGGGAGTGGTAAGAGACTCAAACTAAATCGAAACGCAACCGTCATTTATTTTGTTCTTGTCCTTACTCGACGCAATGAGTACAAAAATGATAGTAGTTTATATGGGTAAATAGTTGATGCATAGTGGAATTTTAATATTCTCAGCATCGCTCTGAATGGCTTGATTAAGCTTGGGTTATACAGTTTACTTTAATTGCTATCGATATTTAACTTCATGTTTCCTCACTAGAGGCCTCTAGTAGCATACTCTGGCAATTATGTTTACTATAATTGCCTTAGTAGTCGGTGCGTTTTGATTTGGTTTGAGTCTTCTTACAAACTCCTTCTGATGACGGGTAGACCCAGAAACACGTGTCAGGGAGTGGTAAGAGACTCAAATTAAATCGAAACGCAACCGTCATTTATTTTGTTATTGTCCTTACTCGACGCAATGAGTACAAAAATGATAGTAGTTTATATGGGTAAATTGTTGATGCATAGTGGAATTTTAATATTCTCAGCATCGCTCTGAATGGCTTGATTAAGCTTGGGTTATACAGTTTACTTTAATTGCTATCGATATTTAACTTCATGTTTCCTCACTAGAGGCCTCTAGTAGCATACTCTGGCAATTATGTTTACTATAATTGCCTTAGTAGTCGGTGCGTTTTGATTTGGTTTGAGTCTTCTTACAAACTCCTTCTGATGACGGGTAGACCCAGAAACACGTGTCAGGGAGTGGTAAGAGACTCAAACTAAATCGAAGCGCAACCGTCATTTATTTTAAATGCTAAACATCTAATTTGTTTATCTGTATTAGACAACACCCTAATATGGGTTTTTATCATTTCAGCATTTATTTAACTTTGTGTCGAGACCTGAAGATGCTTTGCATATTGTAGAAAGCGAAACCGGTCGTCTGATAGTTAAATTAAATTGATTGTAAGTAAGTCTTATTTATTATTACTTTACCTATTTGAAATGGACTCACACAAGCAACACATTCATCATTTGATGATTTTCGTTGTGATTTCGGATCTCTTTCATACTCTTTCCTGACAGTAATATATCTATTTCTATAAGATACATAGTTATCACACACTATGTATCATATAACATAACATAAATATCATAATAACGACATGACAAAATGCTAGAAATATTGGAAACAGCTGGATTGGACGATAAAGATCTACGAATAATTACAAATCTATACTGGCATCAAGTGGCAATAATAAAGGTTGAACAAGAACTGTAGGATGAAATAAATATAAAAAGAGGAGTGAGACAAGGCTGTATATTGTCGCCTTTACTTTTTAACTTATATTCGAAGAAAATATTTAAGGAAGCCTTAATGGAGACAACCGAAGGTACTATTGTGAATGGAGTAACCGTCAACAATATTAGATATGCCGACGATACCTTAGTCCTTGCCAATTGCGGAGAAGACCTTCAAAATCTAATGAACAAAATAAAACAGACTTGTGATCAGTATGGATTAAAACTCAACGTTAAGAAAACTAAATATATGATAGTTAGCAAACAAAATTATATACATAATGACGGTATAAAAGTCGGAGATGCCACACTGGACAGAGTAGAGAAACTCGTGTATCTCGGCAGTAATATCAATGACAGCTGGGATCCAACCGCAGAAATTAAAAGCCGAATAGAACAAGCCGAGTTGCCTTTGTAAAAATGAGAAACTTACTTTGCAGTCACAATCTTAGCATTGACCTTAGAGTTCGTATGATATCTTGCTACATCTTTCCTGTCCTGCATGTATGGAGTAGAAGCGTGGACCCTAACTGAGGCTATGCTTAACAATATGATCTTTTACATCTGATCATTCAGGGAAAGATCCAAGGTAATCGTGGTCCTGGTAGAAGAAGAACATCATGGCTGAAAAATCTAAGGCAATGGTATGGAAAATCAATACATCGTTATTTAGAGCTGCTGTTCAATAAAGTCACGATAGCGAATATGGTAGCCAACATGATATCCAGCGATCGATAACGGTCATGGAACTAGAAGATGTATCTTATGTAGCGTACTTATATAGCGTACTGGTAGCAAGAACTGACCAGATCAAAAACAAAGGACGTCCCAGGCTTAGTGAAATTGAGAACGAAATTGTAAAAGAACAGAAGAGAGGACCTGCTGCTATTGTACCACCAAAGGCAGCTAGGCTTGACCAAACTACCACTGGCCAGTATTTTCTGAAAAAAAAAGGAAGATGCAAAAAACCAGGATGCTGTAATACTCCTAAAGTAATGTGCGATAAATGTAAAGTTGCTTTATGTTTTACAACTACAAATAATTGGTTTTTTAATTGGCATAATAAATAACTATATAACTTAATTCGTTAGCTTTTGCTGCCCACAGTTGCCTGAGGGCAACACACCGAAAAATCTCCCCAAACAAAATTTAAAAAGTCTAAAAAAACTACTAGTTGTTGTAAATGCATATTTGATCATATATACAAATTAAAACATTTTCTTTTAAGTTTACAAAAAAGTCGGGCAATAAAGGGTTAATATCGAAAAAGTATTTGTATTAAAAATGTAGCCTACAAAACAACTATAAAAATTGTGTATTTTTTAAGTCTGTACACCGATTGTGGTAGACTTATAGCTTATGAAAAGTAGGTTCGTTTTGTCAAGTTCCAAATCGAGTATTTCAATGTGAAATAACCAAAAAAACATTTTGGGGAAAAAACTCATCAAACTTTTTGACAGTGTTTCTTCTTCTTCTTCAAGTGCCATCTTCGTTCCAAAGGTTGGCGATCATCAGGGCTATACGTATTTTCGAAACTGCTGACCGAAACAATTCGTTGTTGCTACAGCTATACCATTCCCGTAGATTCTTTAGCCGGGAGTTTCGTCTTCTTCCT